AATTCATGTCCGATCAGTTCATGTCAGTTCAGTTCCGGTTATTCCGGTTAAGTCTAAGTATCATGTCAGGTTAAGTAGAGCATCTTAACGAAATTAATCAGTTAAGTTAACTGTCGGAGCATAGTCATTAGTAATTGTTTATATTATTTTCAGTTTGATCAGGCATCAGCACTACCGTTCAGTTCCGCAGTTCAGATGGGGACTCAGACTAAGTACTACATTGATTATAATTACGGTACCATGTTTGAGGTATGTATTTCAGTTGAGGTATCCGCTCGGAATGGTCGCCGGTCCATTCTGGGTTCTAGTGGTCCTAGTCTGCCCACTAGAGTGTGCACATGGTGTCCGGCTTTGCCGGCAGATGAGGTAACGGTCAGGGTCACGTTTGCGTGACGATTTCAGATTCATGTTCATGTTATTACCGGCTTGAGGGTGAGGTTGAGGTTATGTATATACTGATATCATGATGTTGTTATTATTTTCAATGTTTACATTAGTATGAGTTTCCACGGAGCACAGTGCCATATTGCTCATTTCCCACTTTTATCATGTTTTTCAGGTCAGGACGTCGGGCCGGGAGCATGAGCTGACGGAGGCTTCAGGACATTTATGTTTTTGACTGTATATTTATTATGATGACTTACGCTTCCGCTAATGATGTTTTTGATGACTTTTAACTATGTTTTGATGACTTTTGACGTACTTATGTTTTGACGAACTTTTGGGAAACTTTATGATTTCAGTAACCGGATGGTTTTCTTAAAATATTAAAATAACGGTTTTCCAAATTAAGTCATGATTTTAAGGTAGCACCCCGAATCAGCTTTCACAAAGTAAAAGGCTTTATTTTTAAATAACTTTGCGAATTTTTCGCACTCTGATTTAACGATAAAGAGGGGTGTTACAATTGATATCAGAGCACGTTTCTGCGTCTCTGAAAAGTTTTCAGTCAGAAATTTTTCAGAGAAATCTGAACCGTCATGCTCACGCCCCGCCGACGACAGGTAAGTGCTGATTCAGTTTTTCAGTTATAAACATATTACTATGTCTATGCTCAGAATTAAGGATCAGGACTTTAGTTAAGATGCTCGAATCAGGTTCAGACCTTAGAGTTCGGACATGACTCTAGAATTCAGGACATTCAGATATGACTCTAGACATTAGGATCTTCCTATATAACTCTAGAGTTCTTCAGGATTCACGTCAGTAATGATCGGCCACTTTTGGCGACTCGTCAAGAGATTTGTGTGCCTTAGTAATTAGTCAGAATGATTATCAAGTATTCAGTATATTAAACTTTTCAATGTTCAGATGCCGCCACGTAGGGAACCCGATCATCAGGCTCCTACTCAGGCTACGGTAGTCGCTCAGTTCCGCGACTATCAAGCCGAAAAGTTCTCAGGGCAGGGAGATCCCCGCATCGTTGATGAATGGATTCAGGGGTTGGAATTTATCTTTGAGGTCATGGAATGCCCCGATAGGTATCGCGTAGTCTGCGCTCAGCTTCAGCTCACTGGTGATGCTAGGCTCTGGTGGAATGCCTACTGGAGCATGCGTCCCGGTGAAAAAGCGGGTTGTACATGGGACATGTTCAAGGAGCTAGTCCGTGAAAAGTACGACCCTTCCTACTATCGGGCAGAGATGGAGCGTCAGTTCTTAGCGCTTCAGCAGGGCACTCGTACTGTTGATGAGTACGAGCGAGAGTTCACTAGACTTGCAGCCTTCGTACCAGACTTGGT